CCCCATGGCAGCCCGTTAGTCCTGCGCATCCAGTCGACCTTCCGCTCGCGGCGGACGATTCGCGGTAACCCTGTCTCCCTGGCACCCCCCCTGCTCTTCCACCCCCCATCGACCCTTTCCCTCCCCCTCGATGGGCTCGGTGTCCTAAATCATCCGGGCCGCCGCCGGCCTCGCCCGGGTGTTTGCGTTTTTCCTGCCTCTAAAACCGTTCGACAACTTTGGATCGGCACTTCTGGCCACGCAGCTCGCGGCCGCGACCTCCCGCAGTTGTGGCCGCGCGCCCGGAGCGCGGCCCCCGCTGCAACGCATCCAGGCCTCGCGACGGCAGCGCCGCGTGCGATGACGGGCGTTTGCCTCGCCTTGTGCGCCGTCGATAACGGGGGCCTCCATGGGCGCGGCAAACCCTGCTCTCGCCCCCGCCCCCCGCGGCGTTCGAATCGGGCCGCGGCGGCCCATTCTCCCTGGCAGCTTCGCCTAAACTCAACTTCTAATCTGCCCTTCTGCAATCCTACCCGGCCCAGCGTTAACCTGGCCCCCCTGAGATCGCCCCCTGATGATCCTTCTAGCCGCGCATCGTATGCAGAAATCGCCAGCGCCCCCCTCTTGTACTTTCCCATGCTCTCTCTCTCTCTCTCTCTCTCTTTCTCTATCTCTTTCTCTGTTTTTCGTTATGTTTTGTTTGTTTATCTCTCTCTCTCTCTGTCTCTGTCTCTGTCTCTGTCTCTGTCTCTGTCTCTGTCTCTCTCTCTCTCTCTCTCTCTCTCTCTCTCTCTCTCTCTCTCCCTCCTTATCCCCCGACGCCGCGGGGGCGCCTGCTGGGGTCGCGTGAATGCGTCTTGTGGTGCAGCTCCACCCCCTTCCTGCTTGGCCTTGAACCGCGCCGGGGTGCGCGCGGCAGCTGCGCGCCCTCTCCCGCGCGCCGCTTACCTGGCTGCCCCCGTCCGCGCCCCCCATCGCACTTCTCGCTGCCGAGAATCGCCGACCGCATTTCATTGGGCCCCCCGGGCTTCTCGGGACCTAGTGGAATCAGTCCGTCATAGAAGAGGGCTCTGCACGGCGGGGACCTCGCCCGCGTTTGCCCGCCTGTCTCCAGCCACCCCCCCCATTCTCCTTTCAGCGAAGTGGCGCCGAACTGGAGGGCGCCATGCCGCCCGCAGGTGCTGGTCACCCTCCCCGCGGCATTAGGCCCCCGGCACATGCGAGGCCCCCTTTTGCGCGTCTTTGCACGGCGCAACTCGGTTGCCCGCGCCGGCCGCTTCGCGAGCTGAGCCGAAGACATTTCCTACGTCCGCCACTTGGGCCGGCGAACTTACACCTGCGCCTTGCTCGTTCCTGCTGGCATCCATCCTCTTGCCAAGTTCCCCAGTGGCCAGTCTGTTCGCGGCGCCGGCGCGCTCGCCGTCCCGGAGGCCAGCGCGGGCAAAGTTCCAAAAGGAGTTCACGTGCCGAGCGGTCTCGCTGCGTCGTGCGCACCCAAATCTACAGCAGCCATGGCGATCCCCGCTTCAATATCCCGTCGGGTCTTCGGCGCGGCGTTGACCTCTGGGGCCCCGCAACGAGCTTCAACCGAGTGAGCTCCTGCCAACTTCTGCAGAAGGCACGTTTCGCATATCGACCTCACGTTAGTCCAACAATTCCATTGACCACCATGTCCGCAAGCTGCGCTGCAGGGGTGATACTGATAATTCCTCCTAGAACTGCCGAGTGGGGCGAAGCGGATGGCCGTCTTCCACCCGCGGCACTGCGTGGCCCGCTCGCCGCGGTTGACAGGCGCCTCTCCTTCTCCTGTCAGGTCAGCCTCGCTCGGGAATCGAGGCGCCCGCTCGCTGAAGTCGGCTGGCGCCCTGGCGTCGGCTGTCCTGAGGCCCAGGCTTCCTCGGCCCCCTTGGCTTGCCCCCGCCTTGTTCGCGCCTGTGGGGAAATTGACGGCCGCGCAGCCGTTGCATAATCAATCGAAGCAGTTCCTCTCGCTGACTGGCGCCCGCTTTCCGCGACCCCCCGCGGCTCCTGCCCCTCGGCACCCCGACTGCCCTCCTCTGCATCCTCTACCTCCCGGGCAACCTGCGGTGCTCGGATCGCGCCTGTTTCCCGCGGAGCCCTCGGCATTCGGGCCCTCGCTTTACCTGGGGCGGCCCCGGCGCGGCCTGTGCCGCCCCGGCAACCGCCGCTTCCTCCACTCTTGCCCTGCCCCCCCCCCGCGCCGGCGAAGTCCGCGGCCGGGCGGCCGCGGCCCCAGCGCGCAAGGCAGCGGGGCCCCGCCCCCCGACGCTTACCTCTGCTCATCTCGCGCGCGCCCCGACCCTCCGCGAGGCTCTCATCGGCTTCCTAGTCTCCGTTGGTAGATCACCAGCTGCCGCGGTCATCGCGGCAACTCTGAAGGATCCAGTCGGCGCCCCGGTTCTCGCGCGCGCCATTGATAATGCTGCTCATATCCATGGACTCTTTGTTTTCGCCATCCGCGTCTACCCCTTGATATTCCGCGGGCCGAATCCTCGCGAATGACGCGCAGTTTTTGGCGAGCTCCCAAGCTATGCGCGCGCGGGGTCTAAGAGCAATTCTGCTGCCAATCGCCGAGCCAATCCCCCGCGTGACCCATGGTGCTTCTTAATGAAATTGCTCTGACTGGCATGCCCGAGACATCGCCCTTCCAATGCGTCTCCAAAAATTCGACCAACGCACGCCATTGCTCAAGAGCGGCGGAGATGTCATTGGCCGTTTTGGGCTTCTCGGGATCCGTGGCCAGTTCACTCTCGAGATGAAGTGCGCCTGGTAACTGATGCATGCCACTGGTAGATCTTCTGGCAAGTCATGAGTCCATCGCCGCCGCGACACCTGTAAGCTTGCCACTGGGCCTGACACCTTCCAGAGCGTCGTTGAACAGAGAGCATACATCCTCATCTAACACACCCCAAGACCTCGTCGTTGATCCACATACTCACCCTGTGCATCATTATTGGCCTTCTGTGTGTTGGGAGGGCTTCTGATATTCTTGTGACGTTTACCTTCCACTCGTGATGCGTGGGAGGCAATCATCCTCTTCCTCTGGTCAAGCGCCGCCCATGTACTCCAGCTTTCAGCTGCGGTTCTTCAGCGCCGACCAGTAAGCACGGTTGACTTGGGCCAGTGCGTTTCACACTGACTCGCTCCGCTCGGAACTTGGCGCGGTCGCTGTTGAACGTCTTGACATGCTGTGCTGCTTTGTATTCGCTCACCAGTTTGGGGGGTGGTCATCCCCCCTGCCCTTGATCACAATAGCCTGGCCGATATCGGTAATGTTCTCGGCCGTCGTCTTGGTGCTGCCGCACTGGGCCTCCATGCGCTGAATTATGGTGGCGATACCTCGGGCATTTTCTACTTTCTGGTTTGTGCTGGTGGTGTTTAAGAGCAAGCTGTTGGTTTCTGTGGGTTCTTGACCGCATTCCCCTGGATTCCCGCCCCCAGGACTTGTCGCTCCGACCTTCGACAACATCTGTCACACCCTCATGCTTAACCCGTGATGCATTCTTGGCATGTTTGTAGCCGCCGCCCATGCAAACGAGTTCGCACAGCTCGGCACACATCACAAAACTCAAGCGATGACGAACTCATCGATTAAGCTGGCGTCAGTAACATCTCGGGATCCCTGGGTGCAGCGAGAGGTAGTCCAGCGGCTGTTGCGGCTGCCGCCACCCCTCGAGATTCGGGATGGGCGGGCAGCTAATGCCAGCTCCGATACCATGCGTATCCCGCCAGGGTTACACGATGACAGTAGACCTGGTGAGAAGCGTTAAGAGAAAAGCGTCGCAAAACTTCGCAAATAGCAGTTGCGCCCAGGTGGGCGATACCGAGTGTTGTCGCTTGCGCCAGCCTAAGAACCAACTGTTCTTCCAAACGCGGGGGGGGGACACTTTAGCGCCCCTCGTCCTTTTCATCCCCCTCCTCCCCCGCCCCCTCCTCAGGATGGATGGAGGGACGGAGAGAGGGAGAGACGAGAAAGATACGACGCTAATGGCGGCCGCCGCGCAATGCATCGCCGGGCAAACAGTGAGGGAAAAGGAAAGAGAGGGGCAGGAGGAGGAGAAGGAGGGGCAGGAGGAGGAGGAGAAATCGAGGAGGGGGGAGGCCACAAACGAACACGACTGACCTGTTCTCAAATGGTAAAAAGAAACATCACCTTGGCGCTTCAACAGGAGGCGCGCAGATCGAGGCGAACCTTCGGTTTGCCAAACCTAGAACGGATAAGCTGGCCGGGGACAGATGAGTTGGCTTGGAGGGTTCAGGAGCACTTGGGCCTCTAGGCCTTATACGTGGCCAAGGGAACGACGGATTTGTGCGGGACCACTTTTGAACGCTAACGTCGCGACCCGAACCAAGGCCAGCGTGCAGACTTAACCGAGCCAACGCGTGAGGCGTGTTGGAGTTCGTTCCCATGCGATTTCGAAGACGGATAAAGGCTGGAAGTGTCAGGGTTCTCCGGGAGTGAGCAATACAGCGGGGCTGGCGGAGTTCGGGAACACTGCCCAGGGCGACGCAAACATATCCACTGGTCCCATCGTTTGCAAAACTACCGAAGGATCTGGTTTTGCCGTGAGCGCGCAGTTCAGGGTGTTGAGGCATGTGCCCAACTTGCAACACCCTGTGCGCCGAGACTCACGACAAACCCTCGAATGATGCTGGCCAAGACAGACAAAGGGCTTATTCCCCAAAGGATTGCGACCTGGCCAAATTCACTGCGGCAATTTAGTTCAAGGTTTGTCTTGTGACCCGTAAGATTTCTCGCCAGGCGTCCAAGACGTTTTGGCCCAGAGGAGCAGCGTGAGGCTGCTCCTTTGGAGGGCGTCCTGGAGTCAGGGGATCTTGCTCCCGCCAATGGTACCCGTTTTAAGGCGTGCGAAGTTAACTTCGCCTTAGTGGTTGCGTAGGGATCGAGGAAGCGGGGAGGGAGGGAGGGACGTCGAAAGGGAGGGAGGGAGAAGCTTCCTGCTACGGTTGGTGCAGATTCGGCGCAGGCTCCGCAGGCCTCAGGGAAGCATCCCGTCCCGGTAGGTCTCCTGGAGGCGGCCAGGACATGGTTGACACTTCTCCCCTACCGTGCTCCAGTGCCTTCCTTGCTCCTGCCTTCTCCTGCTCATCCTCCTGGTTCCTCTTCCTCCCTCTTGTTCTAACCCTGGTTCTCGCTCTTCAACAGGTCCTTCGTCTCCTCCTCCTCTTCTCCTCCCCTCACTTCCCTACCCCTCAATCTCCTCTTCATCAATGTTCGCATCCTCCTTCTCAAATGTTGCCTCCCGCTTTCCCCCACCCCTTCCTCCCACCCACACCTTCTCCTCAGTCTCTTCATCCTCATGCGTGTTCTCCTCATCAACATCCTCCTGCAGCTCCTCCCAGATCCTACTTATCATCCTCCCGATCCTTCTCCCCATCCTTTTCCTCCTCCTCCTCCAACTCCTCCTCCTCCTCCTCCTCCTCCTCCTCCTCCTCCTCCTCCTCAGTTGCCCCACAGGCTAGTCTCAAATGATACCGGAGAGAAACCCAAATCAGAATTGTTGTAGGGCTATGGGGCTACGGGGCTATAGGGGTGTAGGGCTATGAATATATGGGGCTATAGGGCTTCATATGGCTATAGGGCTATACGGCTATAGGGCTATAGGGCTATGAGGCTATAGGGCTATAGGGCTATAGGGCTATGGGGCTATAAGGCTACAGGGCTATAGGGCTACAAGGCTAGAGCGCTACAGGGCTGTAGGGCTATAGTGTTGTAGGGCTATAGGGCTATAGGATTGTAGGGCTATAGGGCTATAGGGCTATAAGGTTACAAGGCCATAGGGCCATAGGGCTATAGGGCTATTGGACTACATGGCTACAGGAATATAGGGTTATTAGGGCTATAGGGCTATAGTGCTGTAGGGCTACAGGGCTCCAGGGCTATAAGGATATAGGGCTATAAGGCTATAGTGCACCCGGGCACCCGGGCACCCCCGGGCACCCGGGCACCCGCGGGCACCCGGGCACCCTGGCACCCGGCCTGGCCACCGAAATCGGCGGCCACGCTCACCGAACCATATGATACCGGAGAAAAAACAAAATCATAATCTTGTTAGGGCTCTACAGGGCTATGGGGCATGAAGCTATAGGTCTATAGGGCTATAAGGCGATAGAGCTATAGGACTATAGGATAGGGCTATAAGGCTGTAGGCCTACAGGGCTATGAGGCTATAAGGATATAAGGCTGTATGGCTATAAGGGCTGTAGAGCTATAAGGCTATAGGGTTATAGGGCTATGCGGCTATAGGTCTATGGGGCTATAGGGCTGTAGGGCTGTAGGGCTATACAGCTGTAGGGCTTTAGGGCTATTAGGACTATAGGGCTATAGGGCTATAGGGCTGTAGGGGTATAGGGCTATAAGGCTATAGGGCTATAGGGCTGTAATGCTATAGGAATAGAGCACTTGGGCACCCGGGCACCCCCGGGCACCCGTGAGCACCCTGCAGGCACCTCCGGGCACCCCGGGGCACCCTGGCCGGCCACTGGAATCGGCGGCCCACCTCACCTAACCATATGAATCCGCTAGGACCCCTACAGAGGCAAGCACTGATTGGGAAATCTGTTTCATGAAGCCTGCAATTCGCCACAATTTTGGCTGCGAGTACGGTACGCAGTGTCTTCCAGATTGGCAAAGGAGGCCTGTGCCCCCTGGGCGCCAATCATGTATGCGGCTCAACCCTTCAAATTTGGACACCAAGGAGCCAAAATGTAGCCGTCAAACAGCGCTCAGAGCCCCCCAGGCAGCCTTGTTAGCCCGAAAATTCCTTGAAGCTGGCCTAACAAGGCCCCACGAGGCCCTAATCTGGCCGCAAGATGCGATGATACAGTGTCGAATTGTCTCGCCGAGTGGCATAACGTAGCCGCAAGAAGCCCCACCCTCACAAGGCCTACCGACGTTTCCAACTCCAGGTTCTCCAACCCACCAATCCATCAGCGACAGGATGGCATTGTCCAGGACTGGTTGGGGCTGGCTGCGACAAGCAGAATCGGCAACTGCCAAAGGCAAGGGGGGCCAGCTGGGGTGAGCGGAAAATGGAACTCAGGCCAGGAGCTGGCGACGAGCGAAGGGAGGAAGTGAGAAGGAGAAGGCCTTCTCAGAAGGCGCGAACCTCCCCTGGCCTTCCAAAGAATTGTCTGAGCCTTCCCCGAAGACGGAAACGCTCTCAGAAGTCGGGAGGGCTTCTGAGAAGTCCCGCGCCGCCTTCTGACAAGGCCTTCTCCTCCTCACCTCCCCCCCCCTCGCTCGCCGCCGCATGAGGCCAGACGGGCTGGGCTGAGCGGGGGAACGACACCTCGGCGACGGCCCATCGAGCCGGCGAGAGAGCGGCGACAGGCCCCCTACAGGCAAGGGGGGCCGCTCGGAGCCTGCCGGAGCCAACGCTGCCTCGACAACGGCCCAGGTGCAGAGGGGCCACTCAGCGGCACGGACGAGGCAGGCACCGTATCGGCAGCAGCCCAGGGCCAAGGGGGCAGCAGCAGGGGAACGCCTGGGCGGGCGAAGCTCGGCGGCATCCCAGGGCTGGGTGCGAGAGCGGCGCCCACGCACGGCACCGTGCTTCGGTTCCCTGCAGGCCCCGCTCCGAAGCAGTGCGGCGCATGCAGCTCCGAGGTCCGAACGTCGGCGGTCCAGAGATGCGGCCCTGAGGGATGGGGCCCTGGGGATAGGAGCGAGATCCCGAGCTGAATCTTCACTGTTTGAGGCCACTCGTCCCTAGAGCCATATCTCCTGGGGCCCCGTGTTTGAGCCGCCCATGTTCCCCGTTGGCGGGTGATCCTTCCGGGTTCATGTTTGAGAGTCCCAGTGCCCAGCGGCGCGCCCCGGAGGGCCCACATCGACGAGACGCGCTGGGGTTCCAAGACACACACATCGTGGGAGATCTGGGAACAAAGAGGAGGAGGAGGAGGAGGAGGAGGAGGAGGAGGAGGAGAAGGAGGAGGAGGAGGAGAGGAGGAGGAGGAGGAGGAGGAGGAGGAGCTCTTCGGGAGCTGCGGTTCGCCCCCCCTCCCCTCCCGGCCCCGGCCTCCGCCGCCCCGGCCCTCGGCCCTCGACCGGCCAGCCGCTGCGCGGCGGCCCGCGTAGGCAAAAAAGAGGAGGAGGAGGAGGAGGAGGAGGAGGAGGAGGAGGAGGAGGAGGAGGAGGAGGAGGAGGAGGTGGACGGAGGAGGAGGAGGAGGAGGAGGAGGAGGAGGAGGAGGAGGAGGAGGAGGAGGAGGAGGAGGTGGACGGGGGAGGAGGAGGAGGAGGAGGAGGAGGAGGAGGAGGAGGAGGAGGAGGAGGAGGAGGAGAATGAGCATCCAGCTGGGCCCGGTCCCTAACCCCACCTCGGTGAGCCCCCCCTCTACGAACCCCCGAGTCACTCGAGCCTCGCTCTCTCGTCATCCGGATATGTTCCCACTTCGTCGCTTCCCTGGAGCGCCTCCCTAGAAGGCTACTCGATCAACCAGAACGTCATCCCCTTACGGCATCGTTTTTTCTTTGGTTGGGGGTGGGGGTTGAGACAAGGCAGGCCCCACAAGAAGAAGTGCCTGGACTGGGGGAGCACAATCGATACCGTCATCATCTCATAACTCTCCAAATAGGCTTGCCCTATAGGAGTCCTAGTTCATCATGAGTAATTTGTCTTTAGGACCCCTCCCTTTTCGAAATGGCAGCCGCCCTTATTTCCAATGCCCCCCCCCTCCCCCTCTCCCTTTTTCTAATGGCCCCACCCTTATTTCCAATGGCACCCCTTGCTTGTCCTTGCTTGCTTGCACTTGATTGCTTGCCCTTGCTTGCTCTTGCTTGCTCTTGCTTACCCTTGCTTGCTTGCACTTGATCGCGGGCTCTTGCTTGCTTGTTATTGCTCGCTTGCGCTTGCTTGATTCCACGTTCTTGATTGCACTTGCTTAATTTTGCTCCTCCCGTCCTCCTCCCGTCCTGCTCCCCTCCTCCTTTCGTCCTCCTCCCATCCTCCTCTCGTCCTCCTCCTGTCCTCCTATCTTTTTGGAGTTAACGCTGGCTGATATTCGTTTTCTCACCTGCTCGACAATCTCTTCAGAAACTTGACTGGCAATGGTCCGCAGCAACCAATCATCACTCGTACCTCGCTCTTTCCGTCTGCTCCTGTTGTCTGGAATTTTTGTCCGTGCTTTCCAAGGCCGATCCCCCCTTGCCCGCGCGCGTTGTCCGAATTCCACCCCCTCTGGCTTTTGTCTCCGGCGCTCCAAGACAACAAAAAAACTGCTCCATGACAGCCACTATCGCCCCAAGACGACCTAACATGTCCCCAAGACAGTCCCAGTTCTGCTCAAGAGTGCAGCGAGACGGTCCAAAAGGGCTTCAAACTGGCCCAAGATGGCTTCCAAACGGCCCGAGAGGCCCCCGAGACGTCCAAAGAGGGTTCCCAGAGGATGTCCAGGACGCTCTCGAGACGCAAAACACAATGATTTTCCATCGGCTGTTGGACATTTTTGTGCATGCAGGCCTTTCTGGGCTTCTGACAGCCAAAACGGTCTCAAAGGCTTCCAAGAGGGCCCCAAGACAGCCAAACAGGGCCTCAAGAGTGTCCCAAGATAGCCTATGAGGGCCCCAAGACGACCTGAGGGGGTCCTTAAGATGACCGAAGAGGACCCCAAGGCAGCCCAAGAGGCTCCCAAGAAGGTCGCGAGATGGGGCCGAAGAAAGCGAAATCGAGCTGGACTCGAGAGCCTTTCCATCCAAGACTGCCAGCAAGACCTCCAACTTGCCCCCGACCGGCCCCCCGAGGCCCACATGACGTCCCCGAGAGGCCCTAATGAAGAGGCGAGTTGAGAAGCCCCCACGAAGTCCCGCAGAGGCCCTGAAGAGCCCCCCCCCCCCAACAGACCACGAAAGGCCCAACTGACGGCTCCAAGAGGCGCCCGAGATGCCCTCAAGAGGCCCTAGAAGAGCCTCAAAGATGCATTGAAGAGAAAGGAAAGAGGAGGCGGAGGAGGAGGAGGAGGAGGAGGAGGAGAAACGGTGAAGAAACAAGGACACCGAGGCTGCAGACAAGGAGGGGGTGTTCAAGACCAGATCCAGTTCAGCATCCGGTCTGAACTGAAGCGAACCTCAACATGAACCACCTTCCTGCTAAACTGTTGCCCGGGCACGGTGGCGGGGCTTGCCGCGGGCAGCTGGATATTTCGAGCCCACGGGGCCAGACTACATCCACATCCGGCGCCTGCCGAGGTCCCCGAATATCGATCCGCGGTCAGAGATAAATCCCCGCCTCGGAGATACCGCCACCCCTCAGTTCGGGGCCCTCCTCCTGGTGTGACTCGTTCGGGCTCCTCGTGGTGTGAGTCGTTCGGGGCCCTCGTCGTGGTGTGAGTCGTTCGGGCTCCTCGTGGTGTGAGTCGTTCGGGGCCCTCGTCGTGGTGTGAGTCGTTCGGGCCCCTGACCAGGATCCCGAGGCGAATCCAGCCGTGGCAGCGACGGCCCTCCAGGAGACACTGAAAAAATCGAAGCCGAGGGAGCACGGCGTCGACGTCGGGGCGCGGGGGTCCTCGGAGCCGATCGTCACGGCGGCCACCTGCAGCCCCACCTTCGGCAGCGTGGCCATGCCGGCCGTCGCCAGCGGCGAGCCCGGACCAAGCGGCCCCGCCGCCGCGAACGAGCGGGAGGAGCGCAACCCCGCGGCCAGCTGCGGCGCGGACGCGGAGGCCGTCAGCCGCGCGGGAAGCGTCCCGCCGTGGGAGCCGCTCGCGGTCAGCTGGAGACGGATCTGTTTCCCCGCAGCCCAGAGCCACGACCTGACCGTCAGGAGGCAACTCCTGGGAGGTCTTCGTGAGAATGATGAAGGGCTCTTCTTAACCCTATGAAGGGGCCATACAACCGGACTAGACCAAATTAAGCCCTGGATCGAGCTAGATCAAGCCGGTTTGCGCGGTACTCGGCGGAACTCGCCAGGACTATTCTAGATTATGCCTGGTTTCGACCACCGATATACCTCCATGCTGAATCGAATCTCCCGGGATGTACATCCAAACTCACCCAGACGCCCAGAGAAGCCAAATTGAATTGAAGCACCGTGGCAACAGCCTCGGCGGGCGCAGCTGGAGCAGAACGGGCAAGGGCGATGCGCGAAGATTTCCTGTGGCCCAACTGGCCACAATGGATCCGGGACGGCCGCTTCCCAAAGCCCCGACAGCAGGGTGCAGTCTTGGGGGCCCGCTCCAAAGTGCCAGGCCGCGTTCTTGCGCTCTGTTTGAAGTAGTTCGGCCCTGCTCATGACAGCCGTGCCCGGTTCGTGTCCTACCCGCAGCAATTCTGCAGAGTCGTCATCAGCCAGGAGAGGTATCATAGATAGATCAAAATTATTGTGCAGACGTGCGTCCACTCGCGGCTTGACTTGGGCATCCGATGCAAATCAAGCATGAGATTTCCGCCAAACCTCCGTATCGCCCGAAGGGTGGTCTATGCCGTATCTGCGTGTTGCCAGTGTGGACCTCGAACTGTGCTTTCTCCCCACATCCGAAGTGCGGGTCTTGTTTGCTCTGGACACCCCTGCGCAGGAACATACCTCACCCTCTCTGCCTCCTCTTGTTTTGCACGCGTTATCGCAATCACACGATCACCATCGCTATCACGAACCCATCATGATCATCGGTCACCATCATCACACTCACATTCACTCATACACTCCCGTACTCACACACTCACCTTGAGGAACTCTCGAGCTGGAGCCTCGTCTCTGAGTATACTGTGTGATAGTCCACAGCGGGAGCCTCCTCCCCATGGGGCCGCCAGGTCATGTCACAAATCCGAGCGGGTCATCCACGACCTGTAACTGTCGTTTGGGCCCCTGCGGCATGAGTCTAGAGGACGTCTCGAGCGGGAGCCTCGTCTGTGAGTGAAGTGTCAGGAAGTCTGCAGCGGGAACCTTCTCCCAATGGGGCCGACAGATCATGTAACTAATCCGAGCGGGGCATCCAAAACCTGTAACTGCCATCAGTTTCTAGGCAACTGAAGCATGAACCTGGAACACGTCTCGAGCGGGAGCCCCAACTTTGAGTGACTTGTGGTGAAGTCTACAGCGGGAGTCCACTCCCCATGGGCCACCAGCTCATGTTACTAATCCGAGCGGGCCATCCAACATCTGTAACTGTCGTCACTGTCTGGACAACTGAAGCATGACTCTGGAATACGTCCCGAGCGGGACCCCAACCAATGAATCAAGTGTGATGAAGGCTACAGCGGGAGCCCTCTCCCTATGGGGCCACCAGGTTACTTTACTAATCCGAGCCGGTCATCTGAAACCGGTAACTGTCGTCACTTCCTGGGCCCATGTGGGCTCATGTGCCATGTGCCTGGAGGGCGTCATGAGCGGGCGCCTCGTCTCTGAGGGAGCGGCGAAGAAATTTACAGCGGGAGCCGTATCCCTATGGGGCCACCGGGTCGTGTCACAGATCCGAGCGGGCTCTTCCAGAATCTGCAACCGTCGTCACCGTCTGGGCTCCCGAGGCACGTGCCCGGAGGACGTCTCGAACGGGAGCCTCGTCTCCGAGTGAACTGCGGGGAAGTGTGTAGCGGGAGCCCCCCTTCCCGTGAGGTCGCCAGGTCATGCTGCTCACCCGAGTGGGTCATCTGAAACCTGTAACTGTCGTCACCTTCTGGGATCCTGAGGCACGTGCCTGGAGGGCGTCTCGAGCGGGAGCTTCGTCTCTGAGTGAACTGCGAGGAGGTCTACAGCGGGAGCCTTGTCCCTATGGGGCCGCCAGATCATGTTACAAATCCGAGCGGGCCATCCCAAACCTGTAGTTGTCGTCACTTTGGGGCTCCTGAAGCACGAGTCTGGAGGAAGTCTCGAGCGGGAGCTTCGTCTCGAGCGGGAGCAGGGGGAGGAGGCGGCAGAGGATGAGGAGGACGAGGCAGGAGGAGGAGGAAGAGTCCACCAGACGCCCGAGATGGCTCCGGGAGGCCCCAGGATGCTCCAGGAGGCAACAGGAGGCCCCAGGATGCCCCAGGAGAAGACAGGAGGCCCCTGGAGGAGGCAGGAGGGGGCAAGACGAGGAGAAGGAGCAAGAGAAGGACAAGGAGGATGAGGCGGAAGAGAGAAAGATGGAGGGGAAGGACGGAAGGAATGAAGGACGGAAGGAAGGAAGGAAGGAAGGAACGAGGAGGAGGGGGAGAGGGAGGAGGAGGAATGAGGAGATGAAGGAGGAGGAGGAGGAGGAGGAGGAGGAGGAGGAGGAGGAGGAGGGGGAGAAGGAGGAGGAGGAGAATGAGGAGGAGGATGCGGAAGAGGAATAATAATAATAATAATCAGAAAAAGAAGAATCAGCCCAAGGATGAGGCAGAACAAGGAGGATAAAGGAAAGGATGAGAAAAAAGAAACAACAGGATGAGTAGGAGGAGTGCCCCGGGAGGCCCCAGAAGGCTCCAGGAGACCCCAGGAAACCCACGGATGCCCCAAAAGACTACGGGATGAGGCATATTGCCCAAGGAGGAAGAAGAGGGGGAGGCAGGAAGAGGAGGCAGGAGGAGACAGGAGGAGAAGGAGGAGGCAGGAGGGGGTGGGAAGATGGGGGAGGAGGATATCTCCAAACAAGCTAAACATATTGCCATTTGGGGTCCTACCGTCGGAATGGTTTCCCTCTGGCTGTGTCAGCTATGAAGTGGAAGCTATGTGGTGAAAGCTGTGTTGTGGAAGCTATGTGGTGCAAGCTCTACCGTGGAGGCTATATGGTGAAATATGTGGTGCAAGCCACGTGTGTCAAGAAATCAAGCTATGCCATGCAAGCTGTGAGGCTCAAGCCGCATAGGCCGACATATGAGGTAACGTATTTGCGATGCAAGCTATGTGGTGCAAGCTGTATGGTGCTGTCTATGCGGTGCGAGCGATGTGGTGCAACCCATGTGGCGCAATCATGCCCCATCGATGTGGTGCAAGCCCTGCGGTCACCCAGCAAGACACGCCGATGAAGCGCACGCGGCAGTGGGAAATTACCCGAAAATCCAGAAATCCCAGCCAACGCACGGGGCGCCCACGGGGCGCCCCTGGCCGGATAGCAGTTGAAACGATAGAGCACCTACGACATGCCAGCAGCGTGGACCCGACACGGTGAATTGTTACGCTGTGGAGGCGAAAGCTATGCGGTGTGAGCTATGCGGTGAAAGCTGTGCCGTGTGAGCTATGCGGTGTGAGGCATGGAGGTGCAAGCTGTGCGGTGTGAGCTATGAGCGTAAACTATGCCGTGTACGCTAGGCTGCATGCCTTCGACATGAACGTCACGGGGGCAGCTGTGTGATATTAAGTTGTGCGGTGCATTCTACGCATGCAGTGTCAGCTGTGCGATGTAAGCTTTGCTGCATACTACATGCGGTGCGAGCTATGTAGTGTAAGTTACGTGCTGTGAAGTATGCGATGGCAGGTATGCGGTGTGAGCTTAGGACCGGGGCGCCCACGAGGCGGCACGTGCGGCAGCGTGGCGCAAGCCCAACATACCCCCCGACCGCGGGGCACCCACGGCACCCACGAGGCGGCACGGGCGGCGACGTGGCGCAGACCCGAAATAGCCTCCCAGCGCGGGGCGCCCACGCATCGCCCACGAGGCGGCAATGGCGGCAACGAGGTGCTCGGACACCCAACTCGAGAAAGCCAAGTAAGAATCCCTGCGTGCAAGCACTGCTCGGGAATGAAGCAAGAACCTCGAAGTGCAAGCGCTGTTTGAGGAACGAGGGCGTCCGCCGCTGGGTTCTCGGTGGCGCCCGGATCTGAGGCTGGTTGGAGGCGGCCGGGGGATCTGAACTGGCCAGGGCCCCAGAAAATCGGTCAGGAGGGGGGGTCCGCTCAAAATCGGTCTCTGGACCCCTCCCGGGGTCCATCTGGTGCAGCGTCATCCCCCGCATCCGGTTTCGACGGTCCCAGGCCCCGAACGCGGCTCCCGCAGGCCGAAAAAGACAGCAAAACCTTGCCGCACCCAGAGCCTCGAACTTCGCCCCCAACCCCCCTTCCTGCTGGCCAGAGCCAATGCTCGGCCACCTCAGAACCCCAGACGGCTCCAACGAGAGAGAGCACGGCGTCGGCCGTCGAGCCAGCAGAATGGTAAGGGAGGCTCACATGCGTCGAAGAGAAAGAGCCTGTTTTCTTCCGGCTCGGGCAAGTTTACCTGCATGGCGTTCGCCCTCCCCGCCAACACACGTCAAGTTGTTTGCGGCTCGCTTCAGGTTCAGGCCCTCTCCCCCCCCGTCCTGACTACCTACCAGACCACCCCAGCCCAACCCGAAGAGCCGAATTTCGGGTTGGGGGGGTATGGGCTCCATCTGTGTTCTTTCGATGTTCCCCGACCCACCCCCCACTGGAAATGGAGGGCAACTTGAAGCCTTCGGCTTGTGTTGGGGTGGTTTGGTGGGTGGTGACGTCCATGTAAGTATGAAGGGGCCCTGGGACACACAAATAAATAGACACAAATAAAAAGTATGTTCTGGGTGTTTGTCTTCCACCCCACTTCCTATATTTCCCATGTATTTCTGGGGGATCGAAGACTAACTGTGTTTATGTTTTTGTCCCTCCTGACAAGCAAACTTGCCAGAGTCAAAAAAACAGGCCCAAAGCACGGCGCCGGCCTGCGCAATGAGGCCCGCGTCGCTCCTGCTGAGGTAGGCCTCCCTGCCAGCGCCCGTGAAGCGGCACCGGAGCACCGCGCCGTAGTCGTCCGCGCTACCGACCTCTGGGCGAGCCCGCAGCGGGGAAGCACGACCGATCGTGGGCGGGAGCCACCTCCTCCTCCTCCTCCTCCTGCTCCTCCTCCTCCTCCTCCTCCTCCTCCTCCTCCTCCTCCTCCTCCTCCTCCTCCTCCTCCTCCTCTCCTCCTCCTCCTCCTCCTCCCTCCTCCTCCTCCTCCTCCTCCTCCTCCTCCTCCTCCTCCTCCTCCTCCTCCTCCTCCTCCTCCTCCTCCTCCCCCCTCCTCCTCCTCCTCCTCCCTATCTCGGGGACGCTAGGCAAGCGCGTTCTACTACTCGCAAAGTCACTGGTCGCAAATGGCCTGGATCCGCCGTGGGGGATTTACGATATAGATATATGTATGTATATACCTATATATATATATTATACATAATTATATAGATATCAGATCGGGGCGAACGTGGGTATTTTTGGACGTTTGCGAGTAGGCACTTTGCGAGTAGTGGAACGCGCTCGGTGAGACGCGAAAACATAGATTAGCGATCCATGGGCTTAGCACGCGGTCGCCAAATCCATGGATCGGGAGAGGTGCCCTCCGCGTAATGCGGCTGGTGCCGCCTCGTCCAGCGGCGGAAGTCCGCAATTTCCCATGGAAACGGGACCCGTCGCTAATCCACGCTCCCTTGATCCATGTTTGCGATCGCCTGATATCGAACCCCCCTCGAGTCATGAACAAATGCCACGACGGAAGGTTTCTGACTATCTTCGGCCTCTGGGGGGACCTTGCGGGGCCTCGGGACTGCCAACAAAACACAATCAGGGATGCAAGCCCGATCCCAGAGACAGGCTCGAGACTCCAGCTGGTCGACGTCATGAAGCAATCATGACGTCGGGGGTCTGGGTCCACGGCCTCCCGGGCCGGGCTCCTCGGCCACCGCCCCGTGGATATCGGAGGTGTCTCTTGGCAGGTGCCCCGGTCGGCACGCATCCTTGCGAGCAGGGATCCACGAGATCGCGCTCCGGAAGCAAGACCGCGACGGCAAGGATGTGGCTGTGTTCGCCGCTCGTGAGCCGAGGGCCGCTCTGGCAGATTCGCGCGGCGATGGCGACGACGCTGGCTCCTGACGCCAAGCGGATCACTCAACCCTGAACGATCGCAGCTCTCCGATAAACGAAACCGTTCGACATCGGCCGATGCTGGGCCACCGGCGACTCTCAACCTGGAGCGCCCGCGCAGGGGGTCGCCGCCGCGTCGACGCGGCTCGTACCTGCCGTGCCGCCCAACCTCGCGATACCACACTCGTGGCACAGGCGAGGCCAAACCCTTGCCATCCACGAAGGCGGATTGACGCCTGCAACTGTAGCCATCGACGCGTTTGGGCGTGGTGGGATGCCCGATGAATTGTCTGGTGTGGCTTCTGTAGAAGGGCTCGAGGGGCAACCCTCAGGCAATGCCAAGGTGGGTCACCACTTGGGGCGTCGCCACTCTCTTGAGGAAGCGCAGATCCCTGAAGGAAATGCCACCCCTCCCCTCCCAGAACACTCAATGGCCCCCCCAAACAGCCCCCAACGTAAACAAAAACTGTCGAGCTTCGATTCTGGAACCTCGATCCTCAAGAGGAACTGGTGACCATCCTAGTGGTGACCCCCCTTGGCACTGCCCGAAGACCTCCCCAGGGGCAAGATCCTCAAAACTCCCCACCACTCGCTCTGCTCCCAGCGCTTCCACTCGGCCCCACAACGGCCAAAACACCGCGGCCGCCCCCTAAGACGCCCCAACAGGCCTACAAAAAGCTTTCGAGAGACATCCGAAGAGACTCCGAGAAGCATCCAAAAGGCCTCTGGCCTTCCTGTTCGCCCTCTTCCTCCTCCTCCTCCTCCACCTCCTCCTCCTCTTCCTCCTCCTTCTCCTCCCTTTCTTCCTCGTCCGCATGATCCTCCTCCTCCTCCCTCCTCCCTTCTCCTCATCCCTCCTCCCCCCCTCCCCTCCTCCTCCTCCTCCTCCTCCTCCTCCTCCTCCTCCTCCTCCTCCTCCTCCTCCTCCTCCTCCTCCTCCTCCTCCTCCCCCCCCTCCTCCTCCCCCTCTTCCTCCTCTATCCGCTCCCTCTTGGGTATGACGGCTTCCCAGCCAGCGAGAGAGCGCGTTTCACGGGCGCTTGCCTTGGGAACATTCGGCGGCGCGTTTCGAACCCGGTGGTGCCCCCCCCCCCAACACTCGGCGACGTCGATCAAAACCAGGGGGAACCCCCCTCCCCGCAAAGGATGGGGGGAAGGTCCACCCACCCCCCACCCTCCTCGGCGCTGGCGCCGGCGCTGGCGCGGCGACGGCGGGGACGCAGCGACGATTACCAGAGGCAGCCCAAGGGGGGGGTGTTTCAAAACCCCCCCCCCATGACGCCGGCGCCGGCGTCGGCGCTGGCGGCCGCCAGCAGCGCCGACGGCGGGGACGCAGCGACGATGACCAGAGGCAGCCCAAGGGAGGGGGGGGGTTCAACCCCCCCCCCTGGGCGCCGGCGCCGGCGCTGGCGGCGGCCAGCAGCGCCGGCGCTGCGCGGCACAGAAAAAGAGATCGTCGTCCCCGCCGCCGCCTCCAGCCGCCGCCGACGCAGGCGCCGGCCCGAGGAGAGGGAGAGAGGAGAAGTAGGGGAAGGAAGGGAGGGGGGTCCGGTTCCGCTTCCCCCCTCCAAGCGACCACAGAACGCGCTCTTTCCAGACTATTCCACTGCGTGCTCTCCTCTGTGCCTGATCAGGGCAACTCGCCTGGGATTCGTTTCTAGATGGGCTGGTGGGGGTACTTTTTGTTTCCCCGCGAGTGCGCAGGAGAAAGCCAGGCGCCGTCAGAAAACACGGCTAACGAGCAGCGGACTAAATCCCGCACAAGAGCGCACAGGAGCGAACTACGCTGCGGCACAAGCGGGGGACCTAGCGGAGTAGCTGGTCGGGTTACGCGAAACGTCTAGAATAACTATGCTGCGGGCGATTCAAAGGTGGGGCCCTGAGGGATGGGTACGTAAGGACGAGGTGCCTCAAACAATGTAAATCTACCCTTGGATCTGCTCCTACCCTTACATCCCCATCCCTCAGGGTCTCATCTTTGAACCGCTGACGCTGAGACGTCGGTATTACTTATGTATTGGGAGGGCGGGTGGGAGTGACCCAAACAGTATGCGTCTGGGGAAAGTGTGTCGTGATCGCTGCTCCCCATTAATAAGCATCCCTCCTCCAGGCAACTGGCAGCCAACCCGAATCCATGCGGGCACCCGTGACAACACCCTTCTACCATCCCAGTCAAAAAACGATACAACAGTACACTCTGGGCAAACTGTTGCGGCATTTTCGTGGGCCCCGCGAGCATTTGTATGATCTCTGGACAGGGGCTGCGGAGGTGCCAGCATATAGCCTGCTGTGCGCGGGGCCACCATCCTTGTCAAAACCAGCATACAAAGTGCACGTCGCGGCGAAATCTGGATCATTCGCGGCCACCCCGTGATCCCTGTCTATGATTTTTGACAGGTGATGCGGAGGCGCTGGCACAGTGCCTGCTGTGCGCAGGCCCACCAGACACCATGAGGGCCACCCAGCCGCACTTGCACATTGGTTTTCGACAAGGATGGTGGGGACCGACATGTTTCCCGATGTGTGCTGTCGCATGCCCGAGCACACCTGGCACACTCTGCGCGTGCTCCGGCCGTGGCGCACCTGGCGCGGCTGGAGCATGCGGCGCACATGGCACACTTGGAGCACGTGGCGCATCTGGCGCAGCAGACGCGCCTGGCACGCTTGGGCCCCAGGGGGGCCTGGCGCACCTGGCGCGCGTGGCGCGCCCAAGACACGTGGCGCACCACGCCCCAGCGTCGCTCACCTGAGGTCTGTTTTTTGGTTCCCAAAAACTGCGCATCCCAAGACGACGACCGCTGAAAATAATGCTGAGGCTCGGGTCTGCTTATGCGTTGGGAGGGCGGGTGGGAGTGAGCGAGACGGTTTGCGGGCGGGGAAGTTGTCTTGACCCCTCCCCAACCCCCTGCCCTGGGTCTGGAAAGGGGCCGGGCGGAGGTGTCAGACGGTCCTGTTTGGCCTTGCATGGCTCCAAGATGGCCCCCGATGCTCCAATTTGGCCTCCAAGATGGCTCAAGATAGCCGAAAAAAGCTCAGAATAGCTCCTGGCATACCTCCAACAGGCCCAATACATGGACACTAGACTGCCCCAAGCTGCCCTGGAGCCCCCCGAAGACCCCCAAGAGGCCAAACTTATTCATCATCAATGTGTGTTTGTGATGTTTTTGCCTTCTCGTCTTTCCGCTTCCGATGGGCCTCTGAGGCCTCACGATTGCCCCTAGACGGCCAAATAAAGCCCCAAGAGGGGCCGAAGACGGCCCCAAGATCGCCGAAGATCGCCCCGAGAGCGCCCTCAAAGGGTCCCACGAGCAAATTGTTCGACCGCCGCGAGGGGAGACTCATCTTTCAGGACCTCTCCCTCTGTTCATCCATGCTCTCCACGATGACCCCAACAGGCCCCCACAGAGTCACAAGAGGACTCGAGACCCCCCAGACAAAGGCCCCGAGAGAGCCCCAAGAGAATCCACACGATGGCCCAAATGAGGCCCCAAGAAGGCCCGAGATGACTCTAAGAATTCAAGAACTCTAAGAAGGGCTCTCGCAACAAAGGATCCGTGAAGCGCTCCTCCTCCTCCTTCTCCTCCTCCTCCTCCTTCTCCTCCTCTTGCCTCCTCCGTCCACCTCCTCGTTCCACCGTCTCCTCCTCCTCCTCCTCCTCCACCTCCTCCTCCTCCTCCTCCTCCTCCTCCTCCTCCTCGTGTGTCCACGTCCTGCCCCTCCTTTTCCTCCTCATCGCACCCGCGCGGGCCCCAGGGATGGCCCCAAGAGGCCCTCCAGGGCTCAACCCTCGCTCCCAAATCCCTCGACTCGTCCTTGTTGCCCGCTCTGCTTCGCTGCATGCGTCTCTTCCGCCCTCTTTCCCGGCAGCTCGCATGGGCATCGTTTCTGGAAGGGCTTGCAGGGATACGAGAAGCGCCAAGAATGCCGA